TATGATGCTGGTTTAAGTCTTTAAATTAGGAAAGGGCTGAACCACTGAAAAATGCACTAGCATTCTTTTATAAAAAGAAAACACACAGCTCTAACGGCGAAATAGTGGGAGTGTGGTTAGAACACACTTTTGGGGAACCAAAGCTCTGGGTTCCAATCTTGCTGCTGCCACAGACTTGCTGTAAAATCTGGGAGACAGTCTTTTAAACATCTGTGAAGGAGACATAAAAAAACAATTCCTTCATAGGGTTGTTGTGAGGCTTAATTAGTGTTTATAAAGTACCTTGTGCTCCTGGAATAAAAAGGGCTAACTAAGTAAGCAGTGGATTTTATTTTTTATAATTTATTTTTAGTTTATTTCTAAATCCTCTCCCTTGGTTGAGGGAGGCTCATTAGTTGCCAGGCAAATCATTAAAAATAGCAATAAAAAGCTTTTTTTAAAAAATCCACAGCACATAAATGTGGTCAGATTATACAACAGCTGTGAAGAATAACATGAAATCTAGGACAGCTTTGATATCCCCCTGCCCCAAAACCAATGGACTGTGACATGAGACAAAATCATGTCTCCTGATATATAGTTAGTTCTTTTAAAAATGTCTTTGATTAGGTGAGAGCTTGATTAGGAAAAAACCTGTAGGGTTCTGCATGACATTTAGATAATCAAAATTATATCGTAAGAACAGTCATTGAATACAGTAGGCTTTGCACCAAGCCCGAAAAAAAATCTGAAGTCAGTATTTCCCAAAGTGTGGGTGCACCTCCTCAAGTAGAATCAAGTAGAAGCCATTACTCCTCACAGGTTTTCTCTAAAATCTTAGCTTGATTTTGCTTTTAACTCTCTAGCCATCCTAGCAGCACAGAAAACCTTGGAAATGTAAAGTGGGTGTAATTGATACAGCCATGTCTGCCTGAGTTTGCGGAGAAGATTAAATTTACCCCATCTGAATTCTCTACTCCCTGTTTCTAAACATTCAGTAATTCCCAAGTCAAGCAATGCATTTTTAACCCTCCTCTAATTTTTTATTATCTGGTCTGCATTATAGAATCACAAGCATTAGATCAGATGCTCAGATAGCAAGGCGATGGAGTCCTTGGAAATACTATGGAAAGGTTAGTAGATACCTATGTGGCCATTTAGCTCACATAAAGATTTGTTCTCATCAAGTCCACCTCCATGACAATGCAGGACAATGTTCTTAAGGATTTTTTCTAATTTTTGCAAATCTGTCAAGGCTGATTATCACTCTGGCACTTAAAGGGCAGAAGGTGAGGGACCCTGCCACTAATGGCTTTTGCTTAAAAAAATCTTACCAAGGTCCTAGAATCCTTGGCTATGGGTGGAATGCTGCCACCACCCAAATGCAAAAAAGCCCCTTGAGAACTCAGGAAGATGCACCTGAGAATTTTCCCCAAGCTCTTGAATCATCCCTCAGGAGAGAGCATAAAGACAAACTGTAATTCCTAATAACTGACCTTTCAATCTAAGGCATGTACGTGCACATAGAACCTCCTGCTTTCTAAGACACAGGAATTAGATTATAGTATTTTAAAAAGTAATTATATTAACAAAACAAAGATGACCTACTTAGAAAAGCATGTTTTCTTGGTAGGTGTTACAGAGCACCTAAAACAACAACCCCCCCACCCCCACCCCCACCCAAAAAACACCACAGATTAAAAGCATCGAGAATTGCTTCTCTGGGACTCAGTTTAAAAGTTACAGGGTTTGGGGGAGCAGGCACAGACTCAGCACAGAGGAATTTAGAAATGAGAAAAAAAGAAAATAACCTGATTGCATCTAACTAAATATTCCTTGTTCAATTACCTCTCTGTTGTTCCAAGGTATAGTTCTTCTTAAGCATGAATATTGCTAGAAATGCTATGTCTCGTTCCTGGCTTAATCCACCTCTCCTCTGAACTCACATAAAGACTGCTGCAGGCAGATCACTGCTTCAATTCAGAGTTCTCACTCTCTTCCCATTGACTGTCCTGGCTCTCTGCTGACATTTCTTGGAGATTCTCAGGAACCTACTGTCTCTGGGCTTAATCCTTACAGGCAATTTAGTTAACAGAATAGTGGGGATGTTCGGTAAAGGGTAGTAGTCCTCCCATTTATCACACAGTTGAACTTCAAATCAGAGGTATAGCCACGCTCGGGCATGGGTGGGTTACGGTCAACATACCTGAAATTCAGCCCTACTCAAACCTAAGCAAGGGTGTAGTGCTGCCTCCAGGGTCCAGAGCATCACTGAACACCTGAATTCCAGAATAGAGTTATGTGCCTGCCCGTCAGAAAGCTCTCCTCTGGCAGCTCTGCTCTTCCATTTTCTAAGCTGCCCCTTGCATGTGCCCAGTGAAGCAGGGGAAGCCCTTT